TTCTCTCTTTCTTGAATGATTCTTCACTAAACAACTGCATCTGATTATAGGATTCTGAAGTCTTCAGTTGTAGGTTGGTTCACCACTTATATCCGACTAAACACTGATTGGTCACTGGGGAGTGACCTATGTGATGTGTCTTGTGCTTACTGTTGGCTTAGACTGAATTATACCAGTCAAGGCTACCTGCTGATCGTCACTAACCATTTAATATCATTGTGAAAGCAAGCCAACTAGCCTGGTGACCATATTGCAAATTTGACTGACTGAGTTCACTCTATATGAACATCAAGGACTAGACGCATGAATTTGGTTACACGCCAGTGGCCAATCAATATCTCTCTTATAGACCTACAGGAATTCAATGACGAGCCCAAATTACGTCTCTGACTGGAAAACTAGGTGACACAAGTTCGAATACCAGAGTAGAGATACAAGTACCTTCGAAGTTTTAGATTCGCCATGTTGACAAGCGTCAAAAAGCGTGAAATCTAGGTCCAGAGTTTCCTGCTAATTGCTTCCAACTACCTAACGTTTAACCATTTCAATTTATAACTCCCTCACCACATCAAATTTACGACAGTAAATCACTGACATGTTGTGAGTCTCATTTACCTTCAAGTTATAACAGGTATGCAAAGTAACTACATAGTATGTTAAATTATAAATTATTTATGGGCAATAAACTAGACAAACTTTAATTTTATACTTCATGTTTTTATAAATCTCTATATCTGAACGAAAAATATCTGAGGTTGTAGCTGCCTACAGTTATTTAGGTAGAAGTTATAGTTGCACACATTGTAATCATACGTAAACACACATATTTAGAGTGGGAAGGAACGATTTCTTTATACTGATTTTCCTTGAAACCCACAGAATAAATCAATAAAAGTACAATGCATGAGGGAAAAATGTCCTAATATATAACCTTTGATAATGATTATCTTAAAATTAGGCCAGATAACTTAAAGGGGATGATGACGGTGATAATAATAATAATAATAATAATAATAGCATATTTTACTGACAGAAGGTACTTAGAAAAAGAAGCGTGTATATTCTGAAATCCTTTCGATTTAACTTAATCATTTAATATATACGTAAATGCTAATTCAACATTTACGGTTGAAATTTTAATCCCATTTAAAAATTTGTAAAATCTTATGACATATAGATACAGTTGCTCTATAAATTGATGAATACAAATGGCAATACATCATGAAATATGCCGTTTCTCACGTGCATAGAAGTTAGGCTTTGTAAATGTCACTGAGATGGCTATGTGTTTTCTATCCGGTAACTAGTAACTAGATCACGAGTATGTTAGCATTGTGGTATGTTGAATGTGTCATTTTTTTCTCTCGTGATTTCTTCTTCAAATGATTTATGACTAATGAATAATAAGTACTTAATCGTATAATAAGTGAAATAAAAGTAGGCTAAAAGAAGGATTTCAGCGAAAAAATGTGTTATTCTGCAATGGTACTATTTTTTTCAAAGATAGACAATCATATTTGCATTTGGATTAGAAGAGATAATACCAGGTGTAAAAATGAGATTTTCGCAGAGAATTTCATTCCCTGAAATCTTAGTTTTATATCATCATGGAGATCATTAATTGCATAGAATTTCATGAATGATTTATTATTATTCGCTATAAATTCCTGCAATATGTTATGTGTTTAGTGACCTAAAACTGTCTACTTTAAGGTAAAACTATGTATTTGAATATGCCTTATGGAATTTAGTGTTTGTGCGTCCAACTAACACACTGAATGACAGCTAAAAAGTTGTGAATAGTGAATAGGAAACCTAAAAAGATATCTCAGCAATAAAAAAGTTACATCATTTCGTTTGCTTACAAAGTTTAAGTTGCCTTCCCCGTTTACTAGAGTAATTTTATGAATTGTAGATGAAAACTAAATTAGCCATGACCAACACCACGGGTTCACTTACATTACTTTTTAATTTGTGGAAAATTCCCATGTGGAAGAGTCTTTTTTTTCAACGAATTTATTGTGGAACTGTACAGTCGGACATATATATGCCACTTGTATTTGACGCATATCTAGTCCTGATGCTATGGAAAAAGAAAAATCCAGGTGGAAAATGGATTTCCATCAAGTTTTGTAGACGAGAACATACGGTCAAAAACTGTGAAGTGTGATTGAATGTCTGTAACCAAGAAAAAGCTGTAGATGAACCTTGATCTCAAAGGAGACTTGGCTGCCAACATCCTTATAGAAAGTATCTCATAGTCCTTGAAAAGAACATTTGCAGTAGCTTCGTTGAGAATAAGGTTTTCCAGTCGACCACTACAGCTCATTAACCTGAAAGACGAGTTCCCGCAGTTGACCAACTCTGTGTTTATCAGTTCACTTGCTAGTTTGGAGGTAGCTATATCGGTAGTTTGACTTGGGTTTTGTGCAAAAGGGTACAAGAACACTTTCCTGTGTGGTTACGAAAAAGTGGAAGTGGGGCTGTAAGAAGTGTAGTCATTGTACATCTAGTCAGTACTGGTCACCCTATTTCTACAGCTTCTTTCTTTAAAGCCATCTACAAGGCGACGGACAATTTGCCCAAATTATTGCTTATCTGACTGATATGTGTTGCTGAGGCTTTGGCTATTAAAATATAAAAGCCAGATCTTTTTAAGCGGAAAAGGCTTATCCAGCCACTGCGAATCTCACCGTCTTAATCCCTCTGCGCCAAATAATGATAGTTCCTATTCATACGTTGGCCTTACTTATTTTTCGTTTTGTTTATTCAATTTGTCTATCCTTCCCTTATTATTTCAATTGTTATTATTAATTCCACTTTGAAGAACCTCCGGTATTGTCTCACTTATCCTCCATATTTACTTAATTCAGTATAATGTTTGCAATATTGTCTTATCATAATTATAATTATTATTAGTTCAGCTGAAGAGTCCCAAACTAGGACGAAACAGCTGTCCAGTACTCTCAGGTTTTCCAATGGTTCTCTAACCAATGTCAGCTCATGATGAAATCCTGTAACCAATCAACCAAATCCCTACAAACCAATACTTAAGTGCTTTTTTGTTTTATTGCTAACAGTTTGTTGACATTTTGCTTTTCACTCATATTTGAGTGCAGTTTATTCTTTAGGTTTATAAAGAAAATCCATGTGTACTTCATACCTCGTTCTTTTGCTAATAAAACTACATTTACAACACTACTGTTCCAAATTTCGTTTGTTAGTAGCAAAAGTGTTTACTTCTCTAATCCTTAGGCTTTTGTGTTAAAGCTGATGAATTTGTTTTTCAATAAATTTGTGGTACTTTATCTAAATTCGCATGTGGCAATCATCTTTTTTTAATTCGACATATCCAGCCAAAAGGTGTTATTTTTGCCAAATTCCCTTCATAAAATACCTAATAATTTCTTATGTTTATGCATGTTGTGTCACTCAAGCTTAATACATATGTAGGCACACATATATATATATTTTTTCAAGCATAAGCAAGGTGAGAAACTAAACATAACACATGAATTTGTTGTCAGTAATAGGAGGAAAGTTTGGAATTGATAAAACTGTTCACAGAAAAACATTTTATATCAGATGCAATCTTGTATTACTTTTTTTTAGTTAGTAGTATTCTTAGAAGAGGATATCACAATGATCTAATATGAATCATTTCCTGTGCTCTTATTCACACGATAGTACTGATTTCCCTAAATATAAGTGAATTATATGTCTCCCCAAAGATTTATTTGTTATCGTTAGGTGACATTTCCGTTTATCTCAGGTGAAAGAAAACGTACACCTGCAACTGAAAAATGATAGTAGTCAGTCCAAAGTGGAAAAATCTAAGACTATTTTAATAGATGCTTAAAAGTCTTCAGTTTATTTTATTTACGTTACCACTTTTGATGAAGCTACATCGTAAATCTAGTTAGCGGACAATTCAAATATATTAAGGCATAAGCACATTTGTCTGTTATCTTATGGTCATATATTGATTATTCATTGTACATACACAATTTCTGATTTATCTTCGCTGTATCCATTATAGTAAGTAGGAGTTAGATGAAGCGAATAGTTATTGTCATTAAAATGGACAGATAAAAGACTTCTTGTTTATGCATTTCTCTAAATTTGATTACTTTTGTGTTTTCAAATCAAATGTCCTTGCAAAATGAAACTGTCCTTCACTTTTAAAAATCTAATTCATGAATTTAAACAAAACTTTCATTTTATCCAATTATTTACGTATACATTGGAAATTGAAAAGAATGTTTTAATTTTCAGGTGAATATTTTATTTCAAATTTGCCCTTTAAAAGAACCTCTTTCTACTTTCCTAGTTTAAAAAAAATATATTTTTAAATATGCGAAGGCAGGTGAATATGTCTCGCAAATTTTATGCCAGAAAGGGAAATATTCAGAAAGTGGTAGTAATTATATCAAGTAGGTAAAAATTTCCTTCTATTATTTCAGCATCAATGACTTAACGTCATTTGATGTCAAAAGCAGAGTTACAAATAATGCTAAACACATGAAACTTTAGTCAATTTAGACGTTGACATTAGTGAAATATGACATAAATCAGGTAAAAATGATGTTGCTTTGACAAAATGAAACTGTGCTTGTTAAGTTTGTAAGGGTCTAATTGTGATTTCATGATTCACTTCGTCTCAAACTGACATTAGATAAACAGTGCTTAAGTAAGGAGAAATAGTTGCTTATTGATGTTTTCGTTTAATATCACTACATAAAATAATCAGTTATGAGAACGAATGTCACACAGAAGGTCATGTTTCCAAAATACTCATCACAGTTTTATATTTATTTCTTTGGGCTTATATCTATCAAAAATAACACGTTTACTTTATATTATCAGTTAATAGTTTAAATGGGCGCCTAAAAATATACATATATATGTAGGGAAGTTAATTAAAACCAACTGCTGTTCACTTATTATGAAATAAGATTAATTACACTCATGTATACATTTAAAAATTGTTTGAAACTTACAAGAGAATTAGTTTCGAAATGACTCATAGCTCGTCTATCTCTTGCTCGAGAAGCTTTTTGTATTGCTTCCATATCATCAAGAAAATTTCCAGCTAATCTTTGAGCATGACGTGCAGCACCGTCCATATCGCCTCCTTCTACTTCAATTGTAACATAACCCAACATTATTTGATGAGTTGAGAATAAAAGATAAGAAAAATAAGCAAAAATTCAATTGATAATTCAGTTGAATAAATGATTTGTAGATGTTTTTTTCTTTTCAAAATTATTTTATGGAATTATTAAACTGTTTCAAAGATATTAGAAGGGATCTACTATTTGTCTTTGTTATGGTAATATGTTAGCTGCAATTGGTATGATTTTAATGCTTTCAATAATCAAGAACGAAAAGAAGTTGGATGAATATTATCAACGTTGATTCGAAATGTATCTTTAAATACTTATTGTGCACAATGACTCATTAATATTCAATTAAAAACATTTTCACCGTAAATATTTTTAATCTTTTTGGGAAATTGTATTTAACCAGTGTGTGACCAATTTCTTTTCTAATTATAATATAAACCAAATGATTTTTGATTGGTTCCACCTAATGCACAGTTTATTCGCTTAACAATCCCTAACTTGGTTACATGTGCTGTGTTTGTGTGGGTGTGGATGCCCAAGTTTTTACCTAAATATGTTACCATTTGGCACACAGTTCTATCTACCCAGAAAAATTTATCCTATTTGGTGTTTAGAAATATGCAGCAGTATAAAATTAGAAAATAACTGTCATCCTTTGTATATTTCTATGCTGGATTCGATGTAAGTTTCTGCTTCTGTGTAGATATGCCGTTACCTGCACAGCCACCTGTCAACTTATATATATATATATATATTTATATAAATTCTCTAACTTTTCTCCTCCGATAAACTAATACTTAGTTATTTACATAAATTCAAAAATGTAATCTTAATGCACAATCGATTTCTATCATTCCACTGAAGAAATATTTTAGAGTGCAAAAACTAAAACAGTGTCACATAACAAACTATACTAGAATTGTCATGCATAAACAGTAGACAATCAAAAAAGAAGCACATTTGAGTTTCTCAGTTAGGCATGAAACGTATTCAACAGTATGACTTGAACAGTATATATTTATCAAAGACATTGATAACATTTTTCCTTATATATGTCTAAACCAAGTTCACTTCTCGGTGTTGTATTTGGGATTTGAAATCTTACGAATCTTTTACAATATTCTGAGTGTTCTTTCGCAGTGGCTGTAGTATCGGAAATAAGTATTTGGAGAGGTTGTATGTCAGTGAGTTAGTAAAATCTACTACTGGTCTTAATGGGAGTGCGGGTTTATGCATCTTTGGTTGACCGTAGAATCTTGAAGGTACATACGATTTTGGTTTTAGTTTAAACCAGAGAGAATTTCTGATTTCCGATTTCCACAAATATGTCCACTGGACACCAGTGAACTAATAAAGAACTTAAAATTCTGTCTAGGAAGTAATTATTTTACATTTAAAGGTAATTTATGTAGACAGATAAATGGTGTTGCTATGGGTTCGCCTGTTTGCCCGATAGTCGCTTATCTTTTCATGAAGAGATTCGAAGAAACCGTCTTTTCAAGTATATTCACTCCTAAAATATGGTTAGTATATGCAGATGATACTTTTGTAGTGCTAAAACGAGAATTACACAGTTCATTCTTGGGGAAAGTGAACAATCTATCTCCCAGAATCCAGTTTACTTCGGAAGCAGAATCAAACGTCGATGAATTGCTATTTCTAGACTTTCTAGTTAAGAGGAGAGAAAAAGGGTATTTAAGTATGTCTATATTCAGGAAGAAAATCGCCGAAAAGATATCTTTGCTGAACTTCTTATTCTTCTCAATCTAATGTTCCAATGGGTATTTTCCACGATTTGAAAAAATGCAAGGAAGAAAATCCACTCCTACAAATATTTAGACTTAGGATCACCACACCCTCTCACTGCAAAGGTATCAATTGCTTCAAGTCTTCTTAGATGAGCACACTCTTTGATAACGCATGAGAAAGAAAAAGAAGAAACATCATACATTACTGAGACTCTCAAGCAAAATAACTACCCAAAGAACTTCATCAACAAAATTAACACTGACATTAGGTATGGTTGAAAACGTATTCCGAAAATATGGACCTCAACAGTTGTCATTCCACATAGAGCAGAGACGTCAGACGATATCAGAAGAGTGCTAAATAAACATGCCATCAGAGTTTTCTTCAAAACATCAGATACACTGCGAAACAACCTTGTCCATATAAAGACAAAATCCCTAAAGATTCTCTATCTAAATCTGTCTATAAAATAAAATACTTGGAATATGATGCGATATACATCGGAAAAATATCGCAAGAAATCAAAATCAGAAGAAATAAACGCCGTAGAGCATCTCCTCGACCACCGAGAAATCCAGTTGAACTAGAAAAGCGTGGAAAATCTTCAGCCATAGGTCTACACGCCATAGAATCAGGGCATGAAACTGATTTCGACAATATTGAAATAATCCAGAAACATTTCAGAAACTACAAAGAACATCTCATATCAGAAGCACTGGAGAACGATGACTAAGTTGTTATATATAAGCTGAGATTTTGTAAATTCTGGTTTAATAATACTTTGATAAAGCTATTGGCATTAAATAGAGAAACGTCAGTAAAAACAATACCGTAGTGTTTTCCATTCATTGGAAAATACAAAATCCTTTATTATAATGACCATTTTTCCTTGTTTAGCTGTTTTTCACTTGAAAAAAAGGAATGTATTCCTCTCACAGGATTTAGAAATAATGCAGGGTATTTAGAGCTCAGGTAGTTGTTTTTAATGTTGTATTGTCAGAACTGGATGGTTTAATTACAAAGTTCTCACTATTCTTCTAGATAACGTCGTAAACTTTAACCTCGACTTGGTGTTGTTTTGGAATTCTACGTGAATGATATAACTATCCCTCTTGATAACCATTAATATTATTGGTCATCTTACATAAATATATTAGCTAAAGTGAAGATTCTCTTTGATTTCGAACTTAATGACAAAAGAAGTGACGTAACTTTCTTAATATGAATACATGTTGATAACTTCTAGCATCAATTTGACGAGGATCGCGTAATTATATAAGGCAGCAGCAATACCTTAATGATAAAGAATTCCTAGAATCCATGGGGTCGGATCAATCTACACACAAAGGACATGCTGACACAGATAAAACTGATCTGTCAGTAAAGAATGCCACACGACAAAGAGGTCAGATACCAAGGTAACCATACGATCAGCACCAATGTAAATAAACGCTAGGTTAAGAAAAACTTTGAAGGGGGTTAGTCACCGTTATGGTTATCAGGAGTTACAGTTACTTCATTCAGAGAGAATTTCTAAAGAAACTCACTTCACATAGAAGTTAATGCTTAAGACGTTGACTAGAATGACAATGGAAGTTATGTTGCTGCAATATTCAGCTCAGAGCATACAATAACTAAAGCAAGCTCAGAAATTAGCATTTATAGATAAATATCAAGTGTTTTAATTATCATGAAACAGGATATTATGGAGAAAAGAGTTGTCTAATTTCACTTTCGAATCAAGCCAGATCAATAACAAGAATATTGTAGAATAAGAATGGTCTGAGGAAGTTATAGGAATACTGATGATATATAAGAAGTTTATTGCACAGATTGTAGCAAGAAAGCGAAGTATATTTGGCCACGTAGTATGTTCTCAAATGTGACAAATATTACAGTTGACATGATAACTGATTTGAAACTTTACGGAAAGAAGAAACACAAATGCATCTGACAAAAACGAAATCCACTGTAATCCCTGAATGCATGCAAACTGAATAAAATAAATCTAGGGAGAAATAACGACATCAGTCAGAATGAAACAGGCAGAATAAGTATCATCCTTGGTGATTTAAAGAGAAAGGAATCGACTACAAGTTTATTCTTGTCCAAGTTCAAGAGACTCCACCTACAAACGGTACTGATAGCGTTTATACAAATTTTAAAGGCTTGGATAAATAAAACCTAAACACGTGAAGCAATAAGTATACTACCATTTATGCTTTACAAAATTACAAAGGTGACTGATACAATTGAGTCTGCACCAAGGATAGGACTGATTACTGTCCAATCAAAGTATAGAATACAGTCCTACAGGAGGGAAAACGAGAGCCAAATAGCTCGAAATCTAGGTACAAGGCTTTTTGACGATTGCCTCCAACCATCTAAAAGTGCCAATAATTCAAAAAGTACCGTGATGGCGAGCCACCTAGAATGGTGGTCACATTGCAAACTTGACTGACAGAATTCATTCTTCACGAAACAAAGGACTAGACACCTTACACTAGTTACTGAATAGTGTCCAATCGAAAATACACAAAATTACTCCCATATGTAGAATATATTTGCTCTCTGTAAAAGATTCTGCTGATTCTTTTAGTTCAAAAAATCCGTTTCATGCAAATCTGTATGATTACTGGATACTAGAAAGTATGGTTTGAAAATTGAAGTTGTATAATTCACATTGCATTTCGATATAAGTCTTTCACTGTGAAAGTTTCTACTAAATTTATTTCAACGACACTTTTTGTCATGATCATGGCATTGCATGGATCTCAGAACAGACTAATGCCTTTATGTCACCTTTTGCCACAACTATAGTAGGGGACGTTTAATTGCAACCATTAATTGCTTCAGTCATGCTGTTACATGCCATTATGCTAGTTCATCATTTTTCGTGATGATTTGTCTACTTAATTCATTTCAGTAGTAAGATTGCCAAATGCAAAATAAAATTCCCACAAATATTAACGACGTATATCTATGTTTCATATCTAAAATTCTCCTCTCACTTATAAAATTAGCACAATGTCTTAATTCAGAGAACGGAATTTCACAGATACATATGCAATGAAGCAGATATAATTCATCATGGATGCTTAAGTCATAATGAGCAAGCATTACGTTGACTAAAGAGTTGTTGTGAATTTCGGCTTTCCATTTTGTTACTAAAGATTTCGAGTTACTATGATGCTGGTGTCTCAATTAAAAACAGTCTCGGTAAACAACAGATGAGTAGTGAATTCTGTGACACAACTAGAATAGT